AATGTTATACTGCAAATATACGCCCAGCGTCATACAAAATATTTCCTTTCCTCTAAAAACTAATGTTCATACAATGGGAGATATTTAAAAACAATGATAAAAAAAACAAAAACAAATAAAAAACTTTGAATGAGGTCGGCTTAGTTCATATATATATATATATATATATATATATATATATATATATATGATGCGATGAGAACCAAAGTAATATATAAATTCTAACGTTCACAGCATTAATCCAAAAGAGGTCTCGATACCGATAGTAGAGCGATAATTATTTATTTATTATAATTTTATCATATAAACAAAACCATTTTACTCACTACAAAGATGCAACTTCGTTTCAGTGCATTTCAACTGCACTTCAAAGTGAAGTTGAAATGCACTGAAACCAAGTTGCATCTTTGTAGTGAGTAAAATGGTTTTGTTTATATGATAAAATTATAATAAATGAATATATATATATATATATATATATATATATATATATATATATATATATTAAAGAAAAACAGAACACTTTCAGGTTCCATTATAATAATTTATTTCACCAGAACCCTTTTAAAGGACGCCGGATCATCAGATAGCACTTCCAAATGATGAAACGAAAATGAAATGAAAATTGATGGTATGTATATATATATATATATATATATATATATATATATATATATATATATATATATTGAACAAACAAATCGCATTTTTCATTTAAGGTAACCTTTTCGGCCACACCTCATCAGAAGAAGCGTTAGCGACCTGAATATTAACGGAATTTGCAAAGTGACAAACAGCCTTGGAGAAAACGAGGAACTACAACTAAAACACGATTTACTATTAAAATGGTAGAAAAAAAAAACAAAAACAAAAGGCTGGGGGATGAAAAATGATGACAACCAGAATAAATAGTTTCAGTGATTATAAAAAGACAAAAAAAAACCAGCACTTACAAAACTCCTAGGTTAGGGATAGAACGGACAGATTTCTCTTACAGTGGACACACACAAAAAAATATATATATATATATATATATATATGTAATTATTTTGTTTAAACATTATTTTTAATGGATAGTCATATTTGGGTAGATGCCGTGTTTTTATTTTTAAACAGTATATTTATTTACATGTATCTGCGTGAATATTCAAGACATCTTGTTAGAAAAATGTGCCCTCTGACAGGAATCGAACCTGCGTCTCCTAGACGAGTCTGTCATTAGATCTGATGTGCCTTGATCTCTTGGTAACATAGGACCTTCAGATAAAACAAACTCTGAATAGCACTTTTGAACACATATCTATCCTGATTCTCAACATATACATCTTTGCTTTGTTTTGTAGCCTAACATAAACAAGGACAACTTTTTAAGAAATGGATTAAATCCAACATATTTTATTTATTTATTAATCTGACAGATTTTTTTTTATCACTTTAAACATGGATACTCATATTTGAGTAGACGCACTGTTTTTATTATTAAACAGGATATTTATTTATTTACATCTACCGGCCTCAAAATTCGACAAATCTTGTTAGCAAACTATGCGCCCTCCGGCAGGAATCGAACTTGCAGCCCCTGATGACAGAATAGAGCAGCAACACTTATTTTTGTGAGGTGGACAGATCCTACTAACATCTGTTATTTTCTATTTTACATTTGTTATATTTTGTTTGTAGGTGGGATTCATACTCCTCCCTCTCATTTCATATCATCTTCAGATTTATATATATATGTATATATATATTGTATATGTGGTATTGTGGCATATGTATGAGTCAAAGGTGAAGGATGTCTTCTTTTGGTATATGTGTTATTTGTAATTAATGAATGGGCCATGAATCGGATTAGCTAAGTATTAGATAGTTAATGGTGACCAGCCTCAACCCACTCCCCACTTTTTTGGCCATGTACCGCAATTATAGTATGTTGCAATAATAAATATTTACATCATTAGCAAATTGAAAAATAAAATTTCTGAAATTTTTTTTTTTTTTTTTAAGCATTTCACCCCAAGCAAGGCGGGAAGCCACTAGGACGCAAGGGGTTACAGAAAATTTAGAGCAAGATCAGATAGCAGTGATAGAAGAAAGGATGAGAGTAGTGGATAGATCAAGGCAACTGGAGATGTCGATTGACATTACACTGGAATAGCTGGAGATTGTAGCTCACAGGGAAACAGTAATAGGGAAGAGAGTTCCACAGGCGAGAGGTGCGAGACATGAAGCTATTAGAGTAGAAGAGACGGCTACATTTAGGAGTTTCGACAGTGAAAGGGTGAGAGCGGGATGCCAGCCTCGTGAGGCGCTGGAACTCGTGACGTCTGGGAACCAGCGAATGCAGCTCCTCGGAGGAATTTCCATGAAAGTATTTGTAGAACAGACAGAGGGAGGCGACGGCGCGTCTGTGAGAAAGTGACTGTAGACGAGATGCCAGAGCAGGGCCATCTATATTGCATATCCGCCTCTGGAGCCTATCAAGAACCCCGAGGCAAACAGAAGGGGCTCCAGACCATATATGGCAGCAATACTCCATGCAAGGGCGAATTGTTGATTTGTAGATCTGGAGGATCGACTCCGGGGAGAAAAACTTCCTGACGCGGTTCAATTTGGATTTTTCACCCTTATTGCGTATATGGCAAAAACGAATTTTCAGTTTGGGTGGGGAGAATTTTCAGTTTGGGTGGGGAGAATTTTCAGTTTTTAAAATGCCACAAACTTAATATTTATAAAGATGTCAATGTTTTCTTTGTTCGTAATAAAATATTTCCTAGGATTTTAGAAGATTATTTTATCTAAGTGGGCTTTTGTCAAGTCATCGTTCCACATGAGAATTAGTAGCTACTTTTCCCATCGTGGGTAACGTTGTTTTATCGTAACCCTTACACAAATAAAATACACCAATGTTCATTTGTGTTTGCTTGATAAAACACGTCTGGTTCATTTAAAATCGCTCCCATTCCCTTGTTTAAATAACTTGTAATTCTTCATCTGTATTTTGACTGGAATATTTAAAATAATTCATGGTTCAAAGGCCTTTTCTGCAGTGATTCCTTTTCTTGTTCTCTCACGGACAATTGGGTCTTAAAGCGCCAAAGATTTTATCTTTTAATATTTTTCTCTCATCCAAGAAGAACTGGGTAGACGCCTAAATGGGGTCGTTTCATCTCGAGAAATAGCGTTACTATTAGCGTCCTAATGTGTGTTTGGTTTCTCAGGGCGTATCCATTGAAATTTTAATTTCTTTTCGCTCGAAATCATCTTTTTTTTTTAATCGTTATATTTTATTCAGATTAAATTATAGAAAAAGGGGAAAAAAACCAACACGTTAACGACGGCTGGTCGTATAATAATTATTAAAGGATCAAAAAGAGACCTCGGTGAATTCAAATTCCGACTGAGAACGTTGCGTTCACCGTCGCGCAAATACCATCTATTCTCCTAGCTATGGGTTAAATATCATGTATGAATGGGCACTCTTGCCATGGGTCGGCAGCTAGTCTAGGACTTTGCAGGCCCAACTAACCTGAACAGGGATGTTCTCCATCTTTCTCTATAGACGCCGCTATAGCTGCAGTACGTGAAGTGCTCCTACGGCCCTAATTATTTACAGTACCTGTGATATTTCTTAAAATTACTTAAATATTCTTGTCCTTGATCGCGGTTTTCCACAAAATACAAAACGCTTGCTTCCATATTTTTTAATGATGCGTTAGCTTTTTAAATATATTCTAAATAAAAAATAATAGATTCAAATTTAAGTAAAACATTTTTATATATCTGGGATATGACACCAGTCCACCGAGAGTCGAAAGAATTGAAAAATCTCACTTTTTTCAAGTTTTCATTAGAAATCAGACACGCCTGTCCACAAAGCATTCTGTACCTTGCAGCTTCTAGGTACGCCGTATAGGAGCTGCAAGGTCCGCATTCGTTCGTCTCAAGCGGTCATTATGGGGGCGAGGGGAGATTTTCACGGCTACGAAGGGGCGCATCTATCAGGCTATTGTTCGAACTATCCTTCTCTATGGCTGCGAAACGTGGCCACTTAGAGCGGTTGACCTACGAAGGCTTGAAGTGTTCGACAACGATCGCCTTCGCTGCATTCTACGATGCCGCCGAATCGATTGTGTGCCCACAGCCACTCTACGTCGTCGCTTGAGTCTCCGTCCTCTTCCACCCGTCCTGCTCCAGCGTCGTCTCCGATGGTTCGGGCACGCAGCTCGACGCCCGGTGGGAGAGCTCATCCGCGATGTACTTCTCCCTCCTTCTCTTCCTGGCTGGCGAAAAAGTGCCGGTGGACACCAGAGGACGTGGGCTAGCACAATTAAGGATGACCTAGCAGTACTAGCGGGTCCACAAGTAGTTGGTCTTCGACTATGGAATCGCGATTGGCTCGCCATTTCGTGTGACCTGGCTCAGGATCGCCGAGCTTGAGCAGCGATGTATCGTGATGCTGTACTTGCTCGGGAGGAAGCCGATTCAACTCGACCAGGGTGAAAAGCGGTACAAACAAAGCATTCTGTAGAAATGTGCGACACTTGGGTCCACCGAACGTCTATAAAATAAACAACACACACACAAAACTAAAATCGACTGTAAAATTAGACACCTATGTCCAGTAACCAATAATTCGCCATCTTTAAAAAGCTTAAACCAGTTTTGCACAGCACAGTTAAATATTGTTTCCTCTCTTTCCACCTGTCAAATTTTACGAGACACTTCAGTGGCTAGGAAGCTCCTTTAAACTGATTATTTTTTTACGGTTTATCAACCTGCAGCGGGTTATTTAAAACCATAAAATCTTTTTAGATTGTAAAAAGTTTTTTGAGATAATAATGGTTTAGTCACACAGCTGGGTTAGAGAAGATGTGAATTCATGCCTTTCTTGAGGGTATTAGCACGTAAGGGAATATAACGAACCCAAAGGGAATTAGAACTCGGTTCTCCGATTCACAATTTAGAACCATTACCCATTACACTACCCGCACATCTAAGTGTGCAGCACCTGGTATTCTCAAGCGGTTACCCATATAGGTACTGACCAGGCTGGGTCGCTGCTTAACTTCGGTGATCATACAGGAACCGGTGTTTCTAAGTGATGTGGCCGTAAGCCTGTGATACTTGGATCCTTCAAAAGTCTATAAAAATCACACACACACACACAATGCAACCACATCGGTAGTAAAATTAGACTCGTCTCTTCCCGAAGGCACGTGGAAAGTGCTCAATATCCTTGATAGAGCTAATATATGTGGTTGCAAAGATAATATTTTTTAAGCCCTGGTTTCACGTTTTCGCGATCTTCAGACACACTGGTTTATTTTGTCAAAAGTGGATCTATTTATGCTTTATTTGCATTTGATTATTTTGTGTGTGGTGGTGGAAAAAAAAAAAATTCCCCCCTCTACCATGAATAGAAAACATAAACCAGTTGTTACAAACTACTATCCATGAACCATGAAACCACGTATATATATATATATATATATATATATATATATATATATATATATATATATATATACCCAAGTGTAGAATTTGTGTATACGGAATAAATTACAATAACCAACATACTATTCTTAAAAGAGTGCTGAATACAGAGTACAGCAGATATAATTTATTCGAAAATTTTATACATATTTATGTTATAAAATCACTACAAAAATAGCCATTTTGTTTCAACGCTTTACTCTACATTCAACACCATCACATGATAAGACGCCAGAAGTGTTTAAACAAAATGGCTATTTTTGTATTGATTTTATAACATATTAATAAGCTTTTGCTTCGGCAATTAGCTGAAGATTCGTCTCCAGCTGTGCTACTCGAACTCTCTGCCTTCGGGCAGAGAGGAACCCAAACGAGGCTATGCCGAAGGGCAGAGTTTCGTCTGGCGTGGTAGACAGCTACCCGACCCCGTTTTTTACGGGATCTACGGGGAATTTTCGCCCGAGCCTACGTTCTCAGATACCCCACTTTAAATTCAGCCTTGTGCCACATCTGAACGCGTGGGGCGGTTGGCAAATATCTTTATAACATATTTATGTTATAATTTTCGAATAAATTATATATATATATGTGTGTGTGTGTGTGTGTGTGTGCGTGCGTGCGTGTGTGTGTGTGTAAAGACAACAGGAAGACTTTTCTTGATGATGCGTTTCGTCCTTTGATGTCCATATAAAGCACAACACGTCAGTCTATGGACTCAAGTATCAACACAACATGCGTATCTTTGGATTCAGGTATAAACAGTTCTTTTGTCTCTCTCTATAGGCTCAAGTATAAACCCACATATGTCGGCCTATAGGCTCAAGTATAAACCCATATATGTCGGCCTATAGACTGAAATATAAACACGTTTATTTACCGATAGACTTAAATATATACATGACCTATATTTACATAAACTACTCAAATGTAAATAAATCATATGTGTATGTTTGGACTCAAGTGTAAATAGGTCCATTGTCTATGTATGGACTCAAGTATAAGCCCCACATATGTCAGCCTATAGACTCAAATATAAACACGTTTATCTACCTATAGACTTAAATATAAACATGACTTTTATTTACATAAAAACTCAAGTACAAACACAACCTATGACGACCTATAGATTCAAGTATGAGAAAAAAATGGACATTATAAATTTGATATTTGCAAACCACCCAACCAAGAGCCAGAAAAGCTAAGAATTGCAATGAATTTTCGACTTTCATTTAAGTGTTTACTTAAATAAGTGTGGATGAAATATTGCTGTAATACATCTGTTTTTTTTGCGTTTATTTTGTAATTTGAAAATATTTTGCATATCTCTCGTCTATATCATTTCAAAACGGAAATCAACTGAAGTTAGGCTACTGGGTTCTGGCATTTTTTAAACAAATTCTTTTGAATTTATATAAACCACAGAATCATTGTTCAGTCATCAAAGTATTTCTCCTGTTTTTCTAAGTCACATTTCAGTCATTTTAATGCTGTTTTCTTCTTCTATGTGTCACGACCCTTTAGGACATGAGCGATCGTGGCTCTCCTAAACTTTCTATCCCTTGTCGGCCCTAGCAGTTTTTTTCCTCTTTGCTAAGACTCTCGCTTTCCCGTTCCGTCACACACGTCATCTTGGTTCTTTATTGCCTTCCCCTTACCATAATATGTCCTGTGGGTGTCGAGTTTTCCAAGCCCTCCTTCCTGGTTATGTGTCCAAGAAATTTCAGTTGTCTCTTCCAGATTCTGAAAATTCTTTTTGGTACTCGTTGCTTATTCGCTCTATCCATGGAATTTCCAGTTCCTTTCTGTAGAACCAAATTTCTGTTACTTACAGTTTACTCTTCATCTGTAAATAGATTGGCCTGTAGTTACTGGCCTATAAGAGGATCGATATCACCTAGTTTACCCAGCATTCTTTTTTTTCCGTTTCTAAAGAAAATTTTGTTTCTCAGTAAATTGATTAGGTTTTGAAATGCGTTTTTCGATGATTCCTTGTATAAGTGTTCTTTTTGCTAAAAAAAACTCTTTAAGACTTCCTCGTTACTCACTCTCTCTGTCCATAGAGTTCTCAGTATCCTCCTGTAGAACATGCAGCTGTATTATTCTATAAAGTATATTTCGATTAAAAATACAAACATACGGTCTAATTTAACAAAGAACCTTGACATATTTAGGAAAGATAGTAGCATAATCCAGAACCTATACTAATAGCAAACTGCCTGTATACGGATAGAAAATGAATTCAGTAAATGTAATAAAATAAAAAGGGGCGTAAGGCAAGGGTGGGTCTTCTCACTGCACTTATTCAACCTATACAACGAGTCGATTCTGGGCGAATTAGAAGTCCTACCAGGATTCATTGTTGACAGACACAATCTTAAGAGCATGATACATGAAGACACAGTATTGGTAACCGACACAGAAAGGAAATTGCAGGAATTCTTACAGAAGGTATCGAAGGAAATCGAAAAGAAAGAACTAAACATCAATTTCAAAAAGACAGAATGCATGGTTATGAGCAAAAGGAAGAGACCAATATGCAAATGGCACTTGAATCAATAGAAGTCTGCTTCTACGGGAGGAGGAGGAGAATGAAAATGCCTTGGACCGAATATATAAGAAACGACCAAGTTTTCGAGAAAATGGAAACAAATGGACACTTACACTTAATATAGGAAAAAGAGAGTTTCAGTTTCTCGCGCACACAACGCGGAAAGAGGGCTTGGAAATTTTGATACTCACATGGCATAGAAGTCAATTAAGACAGCACTTAACTATAGAAACGCATTGAAAATCGGTGAGAAATTCATCGTCTGCGGTTCAAGCGAGTCGCCACAAAATGGTTACGAGGAGAGCTCCTTTTTTAGAAGATGCTTCCTGATCATAATCTCAACCCCTTCAAAGCAAACGTTATCTATCCTACATATCCTCATAGTATGCACAACTTGCTTCCCACCCTGCACAGCCTTACAACCTCATTAAGCAATTCTACCTTGAGTGGCCCTTGGGTCTTATATTGGATAACAAAAATAGTAAATAAAATCAGATTTGAAAAATTTCCTTGGAATATGAACAATATTTCTATAACATTCACAAGATTCGATGAAATTGCTCCCGATTCACACTCCTCCCCGGTCTGTTAAACAGGAATAAAACTGTATCGTTTGTTTCCTGTTTAGGATTGAGTTTCTGGTTCCTTCTAAAGTCTACTTCAGCTCTATATTTTTAACATCTCCGCCTAAACACAGAAATTTTATTTACTATTTTTTTTACACTATTTATATTATCCGGATATGTCCACATCTTTGTCGCCATATTTATCACAACGTTTCGGCCTTCTTCAGGTGGTTGGAATGTCGAACTGAACCCTTTATTTCGCTCGCTGGGGTAAACTGTTCTAGTTCCACGTGCCATGTCTAATGGATGTCAGTTATCAGTAATTCCCCTCTTCTCCACTGCCTTAACCAGGAATTGAACTCACAACTCTTTAAGACCTGTCACTGGATCTAACCAACGCCTTTATCCACTGTGTCATGTGTCCTTAAGGACAGATACTATTTTTTTTCTTTCTTTCCCCAGTAGCAGTAGATATGTTTCTCTATCACCCGGTTCACACTCCTCCTTGGTTATTTAAACTGGAATCGAGGATTATCCCTTGATTTCTGTTTAAAACAGGATTTCTTGTCTTTTTCATCCTCTTTCACACACAGTAGCCCTTTGCGGGGATTGATTAAAAAGAAACTATACGAATCTCGATTTTCTTCGTTTCGCTTCTTTTATTTTAATTTGATTGTTTTCCCATGAATCATAAAAGCTGGGGATAAACACTTAAATTTTCATGTTGTCGAACGAACAAATTTACCATCTGAAAGACATTGGCCGAATTTTGTTTTTCGTCTCACTATATCGTGTCAGTAAAGAAATTCCATGACACTTGATCACTGTAATAACACGTCTTGTGTTCCTTGAGAAACAAGCAGGGAGTGTGAGGCAGGATTGGTTTCGAAGAATGGAATTTCTAACCGCGAGTTCTTGACGTAACAAAATTTTGAGACTGTGACGATACCAAATATCTTTGTGTAGAAGTTTTTAAAAAAAAAAAAAAAAAATTATCAGTTAAATGAGATATGGATCGAAATGAGAAGCAATAAATACTAATCTCTATCTATAAAAGGCAGGATGTGTGTGTGTGTGTGTGTGTGTGTGTGTGTGTGTGTGTGTGTGTGTAACGAATGCACGGCCGCAATTTTCAACGGATTTGCACCAAAATATACATGCACATGCTCCAAGTTAGTGGCAAGGCCAAGACCGACTTTGCATTTCCCAACTCCCATCGATAGTGGAAATAATCGATTTTTTCATGCTTCTACGGCAGTTTTTCATGTAGTTTGCGGCCATTTTCTACTGGCCAGAGTGAGAGCTTATAGTTGGCTGCCACGAATAGGCAGGAAGATTCTACTGGCCAGCGTGAGAGCCAACAGCTGACTGACACGAATGTTAACTAGGATGCTAGCATGTAAAAAAAAATCGATAGCTGCATTCGTCGCAAGTGGGAAAAGTTTAAATCTGCATGGCACTTTACTCCAATTGGCTCATTCGCTTGCTTAAACTCAACGTTCATTC